TATTTTTTTATCTTCCTTTCTTGCCTAATTTCTTTCATAGCACTCATTGCTATCCAAATTACATTTCAGATAGTTTACTCTTTTTTACTTGTTTGTTACCTGTGTCTCTTATAAACTCCATGAAGTTAGGTATGTGTCTGTTCTGTCTACTGCAAACCAGTTCCTGGAGTATAATAGTCACAAATTAGTCAAATCAAAGAAAGACCCCCTTCGAAGACCTTTCATGTACCAAATATCTCATATGTAAATGCAAAGAATTCAATTGTAATGCCAATCATAACTACCAGTCACCTAGAGGGGGAACACATTGATCTAAAAGTTTTGCATATAGTACTTTATTTAGAGTTCTCAGCAACCCTGTGAAACATGTATTTTTATTTCCTTTTTTTTTTTTTTCAAAATGAGGGTGTAGAGACTCAGAGAGACTGACTTGATGCCACAAAGCTGGAAAGAAATAAAGCCGTGAATGAAATGGGATTTGTCTGACTCTGACTCCAGGCATTGTCATGTTCAAAGATGAATAAGATACACACAGCATCCCTGAGAACCTCAAGGCCCCATGGTTTGGCTTTGAAGCAGCATTGTCTGTGAAGTTCTCCTTTGTCTTCTGTGGCCAGAAAAAGATTTTGGCAATGAATCTCAGAGAACTGGAGATGCACCATTTGCCATCCTGGGAACTTCAAGAATGTGCTCCCTCATGGCAAGATCTGGTATTTCATGCTGTTTCGCCTTTGGGTGAGGTCGGATTCTGCTGTAGAGGTTTGCCAAGCAACGTATATTCTCACATCTCCCATTCCCTGACTGCGTGTGAGTCCAACAGCTGTCAGGGATCCTATTTACTTTTAATAAATCTAACAAATGAACAATAAATAAGTGATGAGTCTTCTGCCTCAGAGGATCCAGCAAGGGCAGGACCCAGCCAGGTGCATGGGAAACTGAACTCTTTTTCAGCATTCATAACCGAATTCTAAACAGCAAGCACCAAACTCCAAAGTCAGTCAGACCACCGTTTCTATGTATTTTACAGATCACAAAACTATTCCTTCCTCTGGTCTTCTGGAATGAAAGGAAATTCCTCAGCCTATTCATCCCATGAATTAAAAAAGAGAGAGAGAGATTTAAGAAAAAAAAAAAAAAGGTCTCCCCGGTTATAATGCTGTTCATGTCCTTTGACCAGAAAGAGTTAGAGAAAAACTTCAGGATTGATCTGAGGGACATAGAGCCCAGGTTCCATTAAAGTGCATTAATGCCAAGGTCTGTGTAATTAGTGAAAAGTCAATTCCCATTACTAGTTAACACTATTGAATATCTGCTTTCTTTAATAAAAAGCCATGTCCAGTACAAAGAGAATAAATCAATAGGTTGGCTGCATTTAGATCTATTCGGCCTTCTAAAATGCACAGAGAAACTCCCTGTCAGAGCTGCACTGTCTGTCTGCCAAGCTCCGTCTGTGAGCTGGCAGCTGGCCCTGACTTCTTTGCCTGGAATCTTTCATTAGCACTCTCTCGCCTTCGCTCTCATTTCTCTAATCAAGAAAGTTGAGTTTTGCCCTATGCCTAAAAATCTTCTATTTGAGCTTAATCTTGATCCCCCTCTAATTTGGACTTGTTCAGAAAACAAGCTTCAAAGCCGCTCTGTCCATACTTCTGAATCCCAGCATTTGCCGCACACCACCCCACCCTCAAAGCCAGGACAGTGTGAGGTAGACACAATCACTTACAAGAGACCAAAGATTCCCCAGGGCCTGAAAGAGTTTTCCCCTCCAGATATACTCTCTGCACTTTTACAGCTGGCTAGCCTACTTGCTGCCAATTTTGGAGGCAGCTGGAATGTTCCAGATTCTCAATTGTGTAAAGCAAAAAAAAAAAAAAAAAATACACCTGTCCTGTAATGTATATAAGTCCTTCCAATCCTCAGCACCATGTGCAGAAGAACACATTCATCTCCTTACTTTGGAGTCTCCCTCTTTGTAGCCAAGCGGGGCTCTTCTTTCTTCAATGGGGAAAGCTGCTTAGACATGACCTTCATTATAAGGCTTGGTTGATGAAAGAATACTTTAAACCCCTCTGCCTTTTAAGGACGTGTAAGTTACTCTGAAATTGGAAAAGTGTATTTCCACTTAAGTGAATTACTTATCTTAAATCATTTCATTTTTATTTACATTTTCATTTACCACCATGCTCAATCAGTCTTTGACTAAAAGAGAATCAATATAATCTTGCTTCAGGTTAAGTTTACTGTACAGTATTATTTGACATTCTTTTTGATCCTTGGTCCTTCTTTTTACCTGTTGGTTCTCCTTCTGGACCTCCTTCCTTTCTAAAGTGAGTGTTTTGTGGATTGGGAGGGTTTAGTAGTGATATTGGTCTGGGTCACCCTTTCAGTGGGAGGAAGTATTTGAAATTCATTCCTTTCAGGATTTAGCAAATTGGTATAGTGTGCTGGGTTTTTCAGTTGGTTCAAGCCTAACATTTCTCCTCTCAAGCAGGTGGACATGTCAAATGAAACAGGAGTTGCTAAAGCCACAGCTACATTTTTTATGCCGCTTTCCATGACCCCATCCCTGGTCCCAAAACCTGGTCTGCCATTAGAGATGATCAAAACCAAGACCTACACTGTGAAACCAACCAGGGACCACCCTCCCCCCCACACACCCCCCATAGTTTTGTGACTATTCCTAAAGCCATTTAAATCATCTGCTGGTCAGAGAACTAGGGAAGGGAATTTCCTGCACCTTCACAATGCAGTAGCAGGGTCACAGTAACAAAGACAGATAATAAAAATGAATGCTGTCCTAACTGAGAGTGGGAAGTGACGGGTTGTGAGGAGACATTCATGTCCTCAAAAATGACCAGTTTTTCCGCTTTCCAGCTTATAAATTTTGAAAAGGTAGGTTTATTAAGTGACAAGAAGAGTCTTAAAAGTCAGCAGACAGGTTGGCCAAGGGTACTCGAATAGCTTGGATGACTCTGCCAAAGAGAAACTAACTGGAGAACTCGTGGTGAATGAAGGGATCCCAGATCATTGTTATCCTAAGTCAATGAAACTTTCCACTGGGCCAAGGCAGTGACTGAATTTCCATTCGGAAATGGAGCTCACAAAGCAATGAGCTGGCAGAGCCAAGAAATGAATCCAAGATGAAATCGGGGGAAAAAATATTGGGGAATAAATGAGTGCAGCCTCGAGCAATCTGCCCAGGTGTCTTTTACACAGAAAAACTGTCTTTGAGGAGGTTGGAAATTGTCTTTGATCCTTTAGTAAATCCAGCCCTGAAAACTCTGAAATGAATAGCAGGAGGCAGACTCAGATTAAACATTTTCACAAAACATATAGATCTGTTTTAAAACCGTACAATTCACAAAATCACCTCAAATGCTGTAAACCTTATGAAACACCAGACAACCGATTCCTCTTGCCTTCAAGTTCAGGAAGAGATTTTCCCTACCCTGTAAGAGCTCTTGAGAACTGACCTTTAGAGGAGAGTCAGGTTGCCAAACCTGAGCTGGTAGAAGAGTTGCTCTATGCGACGAGAACTGATGGAATGCGCTCTCTCCTTCAAGTTCAAGTGTATATTGAGATTTTTATCTGAAATTAATTCTGATTAATATCAAGTTGGACTAAAGGAGAAAAACATTTCAAGCATGAGTTTATACTTGTTGACATGCTTATAGGATACACCTTAAATCTGAGTCATAAAACTGGAATAAAAGACTACTGAGAAATGCATACCCCTGATCGGGTCTCACCAAGAAAGTCGTCATTCCACATTCCCCAAGGGCAGGAGACATTTGTTTCAAGGTGTTGTCCAATCACTCTCTAGCCATCAGAGCAACCTATGGCTGAAAGCCCTCAAGTCTGTTTACACCACTTTCATTCATTTTAGTTTATTGTCTAAGTTTCTCCCTCTAATGCTTCATTCTTCAATAATTTTAAGTAGAAAGAGAAATGGGCACACCATTCATGGGTGCTTCAAAAGCCTCATTGCTGGTACAGAGGAAGAAGAGAGGGTTAAGTTCCTTGTTCTCAGGAGAACATTGCATCCATCATGATGGCTGTCACACAATCAAATAAGAGAACACAGCAAGCCCACCCACTCAGATGACAATTAGGCACATCCCTGAAGTCAGCTCTCCTCACTGAACCTGAACCTTTGCCTCCAGCTAAGTCAGATTGTTCAGTGGAGGTAGAATGGAATTCCCAAATTAGCAAGATTTGGAACAAGGCTGGTAAGCTCTATCTATCACAAGTAGAGGCAGGTTTATATACCCTAGAGATTAATGCTCTCTATCTGATGTGGGAGGGATGAAAATTTGTTCTCAAGATGTAGGCTTTCTATTCACCTCACTGATTGTTTCTTTTGCTGAGAAGAAACTTTTTGGTTTGAAGACATCCCATTTATTGATTCTTGCTTTTAATTCTTGTGCTATAGGAGTCTTATTAAGAAAGTTGGGGCCTAATCTCACATGATGAAGATTAGGGCCTACTTTTTCTTCTATTAGACGCAGAATCTCAGGTTTAATTCCTAGGTCCTTGATCTACTTTCAGTTGAGTTTTGTGCATGGTGAGGGATAGGGGTTTAATTTCATTTTGTTGCATATGGATTTCCAGTTTTCCCAGCACCATTTGTTGACGAAGCTATCTTTTCTCCAGTGAATGTTTTTGGCACCTTTGTTTAATATAAGATAATCGTAATTTTGTGGGTTAGTCTCTGTGTCCTCTATTCTGTACCATTGGTCTACCAGTCTGTTTTGGTGCCAATACCATGCTGTTTTTGTTACTATTGTTCTGTAGTATAGTTTAAGGTCTGTTATAGATGCCACCTGCTTCACTCTGCCCACGAAGAATTGCTTTAGCTACTCTGGGTCTCTTATTTTTCCAGATGAATTTCATGATTGCTTTTTCTATTTCTATGAGGAATGCCATTGGGATTTTGATCAAAATTGCATTAAATCTATATAGTGTTTTTGGTAGTATGGTCATTTTGATAATATTAATTCTGCCTACCTAAGAGCAAGACAAGTAAAAGCAGGTTTAGAGAGTGAAAATATAAATATAAATATAAAATATAAACTCTTGGATAGCCTGCCCACCTCACACAGAGTAAAAACAAAGTCTTTACCAGGCCTTCATCATCAGGCCACCAGCCAACCACTCACTCACTCCCCAATTCCTTCTCCAGTCTCTTCCAGGCCCACGAACCTACTTATTAGTCCTTAAGTATTGTAGACACATTCTTCTTTTAAGGTCCTTGAACTTGCTCTTCCCTCTGTCTGGATTATTCCTTCCACCATTGCCACATGGAAAAACTGGGTCTTTTTTTTTTTTTTTTTAAACCTAAAAAATTAATTTTATTGTTGACATCTTATCTACTCAGGAAAATTAAAAGTTCATCTTATTATATTTCAAAAGTTCATCTTACTATATATGCCCAAACAATTCTCCTTTTTAATCTTAACAATACATTTATTACATTCGAAAGCAGCAGCTAGGGTTGGGGATGTAGCTTAGTGGTAGACTGCATCTAGAATTTTTTTTCTTTTTATTGGTTCTTTTTAGTTACATGTAACAGTAGGATTCATTTTGACATAATGATTAAAGCAAGAAATAAGCTTCTGCATCTATAATTATTATCAGACTAAAGATATATCTTATCTTTTCTGGTATCATATTAATCCCTTAACATTAAATATGGTTTTATTTATTTTTTAAATAAAGTTTTCATCTTTTAAAACAGTGACTATCCTTTAAGGTTGAGGCCAAATTCATTCAATCACTTAACATATAAGGCACTTAACATGTGCTAAGGAAAATTCTAGACTAAGGACACAGATAGCAATGGAAAATACACAAAGCCATCCTCAAAATGACCCAGTGTCTCGTGTGACACCTTTCTTTATTACCTCTGTTCAAGGTGGGCATCTCTTCTTGAAGTTTAAATTCTCAGTGTTCATACTTAACTTGTAATTGTGTGTGTGTGTGTGTTTGTGTGTGCATGCATCTGTTGCTAAAATTAGAACTTAAGGTTCTTTCAGGCAAAAATAGTGTCAATCTTCCTAAAAATTATGTGTTTTTTGTATCTTTTTATGAGTGCATGGTAGTTTCACTAAAAATTACTTCTTGTCAAACAGTTGCTTAAATTATTTTGTGGCTTGGAATGTTAGAGGAAAAAATGAAGAGTGTACATATTCAGGATCAAATAAAATTATCTTATTCCTCAGAAAAAGTACTTACAAAAGTACTTTACTTTACAGTAAAGGATTAAACTAACTTTTGTTAGACAGAAATTAGCTGTTAGAGCCACAAAGAGAAAACTAACCTTTGATAAACAGAAAGAATGAAAAAGGTTCATCAACTAGCAAAAAAAAAAAAAAGGAGGGGTGCTACTAAAGTAGAGAAGTGAAAAATCATAATATTTGAATATAGTTTCTTTCATTTCCAAAGAAAGGAATGAAAAATATCAGTTCTTATAGTTAAGTAACCGAAATACAGTTATTACTTAAAAAAAAAAAATCTAAGAACACAGACATTCTTGGAGAGTCTTAATAAGCAAAGTAACTAACCTCATTAATTCTTCCACTTTATCATCTACATCTAGGTCCTCTTCTGAGGCTTCAAAACTATATGACCTCTGACCCATGCTGTTTGCATGATAGCGAGTTGGTGACATCTTCCCATTGGATGTAGACAATCGCTCATTATTCTCCCTCCCATTTTGATTGGTAGTGCAAGGCTGTGGGGAGGTATCATAACTGTTGCTAGGTGATGGGGACATTCCCGAATGCTGGGTCTGTGTAGAGGCTGTAGCTGTAGAGGAAGATGCTGGAACATTGTTGGTACTGTTCCCATATGAACTTCCTCCATAACTGGACCTTCTTCCAAACTTGTCACTATGCTCTTGATCAAGACGGTCCAAAGTCTCCAAGGCATGGAGAATTGCATGTTTAGTCATTCCAGTACGCCGAAGGCGCTGAAGCAGATCTATCTGTTCTATGGTGAATCTGGGTTCATCTGTATAGTGAGACATGGTTTCCAGCAAATTACACCACTGGAAAGGAACTGAGCATACTTTACATGAGGTGGATCAATAAGTTTTCCAGAGATGATCAGTGTTCTTTACCATTCTCCAAATCCTCGCCGAGTTCTCTCGCCCGGCACAGCCCCCTCCCCAAAGTCCCGGTGCGAAGGGCTGGGGTAGGGAGGAAAAACTGGGTCTTGAATATCACTTTCTCAATAGAGATTGATGAGCTAGCAGCCTACCTAAAGTTCTAACTTCCCCTACCTCCCAAACACCTTCTTTGCTAACAAATCATATGGTTCATGTTTTCAATCATATTTATGATTTATACTCCCCACTCAGATGTAAGCTCCATGAAGACAGTGTTTGCTGTATCCCCAGTGCATTTCTAGAACAATGCCTGATGAATAGTAATGACTTAATAAATACTAGTTGAATGAATGAATGAATGAATGTCAACGATTTACCAAACCCATCCCTTCATTCACAAAAAAACAGTCTTTATATGGTCACTAGAAGCATTACCACCATGGTCTTCATTACAAATGACCATGAGCTCTCACCATGTGCTAAGTATTGAATGGAACACCATATGTGCACTATCCTATTTAAGCTTACGATGAATAGATTGATGATAAGCCAGGAACAGTCAAGTAATCTGTCCATGTTGCCTTACTAGTATGTGGCAGAGTTGAAATACAAGTTGAAGTTTGTCTCACACAGTGGGTCTCAATGAGGGGCAATTTTGCCCTCCAAGGAACACTTGGCAATGTCTGAAAACAATTCCCTTGTCACACTGAGGTTTGCTGTTGGACTGTGAGTAGATATTGATGCTGCTAAACGTCCAACGGTGCACAGGACAGCTCTCATAACAAAGAATCACCCAGCCCAGAAGGTCAATTGTGCTGGGGTTGAGAAACCCTGGTCTAACACCATAAATGTTTTGAGTTGCTTTGCAGTTTTGCTCGATTAGTCGCTAGTGGCGGTGCAAACTGCCTCCACCCTTCTATAAAGGAACATGGCAGTATTTCTTGAGAGTGTTGCATGTTTTCATACCTTTTTGACCTTCCAATCCTACTTCTGTAAATCTGGCTTAAAGAAATAACCTAAAATGTGGAAAATGTCCCCCAATATTTCTCAGAACATTATTTGTAATAATAAAAAAAACTGAAAACTACCTAATGTCTGATAATAAAAGAATCATTAAGTAAACTCTGGAATACCCACTTGTTGGAACATTAAACAGCCATTAAGATGTTATTTATTGAGAGTTTCTAACAACATGGGAAAGTGCTTACATAGAAATGTTAAATTTTAAAAATTAGGTTTCAGGCTTACGTAAGCAGTGTGACTATTAACTGACAGAAATTACACACACTAAAGAGGTCAAGCAGAAATAACACGAAATACTGATAATGTGGTAGAACTATGGCTGGTTAATTTCTTTCTTTTATATTCCAGTACTTCTGAAATGTTCTGTAATAATTGTATTCATTTTCCAATGGGAAAAATATCATTTAGGAAATCAGGGGTTTGTTTTTTCTTATAAAAAGAAGGAAAAAACTTAAAAAAAAATAGCAACTGACTGTCTCTAAAGTGAATTTCAGATCTGTGGGAGTAGATTTGACTCTTATTTACCTTTATTAGCTAATTTAATTAGAAATTATTATTATTATTTTCAATCAACTATCTTTGTTATAGGAAGCAAAGAAAGCGTAGTTAGTAGTTGCTGGAACTAGCTCCGTCTTTGACAGAAAATATTTTCCTCACTCATCTTCTACCTTTTTTCTAATGTTTTAGAAACATTTGAGTCCATAAGAGAAAAACATGCTTGTACTTGGAATAAGCCCTGCTGTCTGCTCAGTTGCTTAGTTGGGGGGAGCCATAAATCTAACACCTAGGACCATGGGCTCTGGAATTGAACAGGCCCTGGTTCACGTCACTGCTCCCACCCACCATTGTGCCCTTGAGTGAGTCCTTAGGCTCTTTGTGCCCTCTCTGAATCCCAAGCCTAAGTTTAAAACCACTGTGGAATGCTGTTAATGCCATCAGATGCTATATGTGTTGGTCTCCATGACTTAGGACTGTCCATTTGAGGTAACCTGCCCACAATTCCCCAATATTCATCCTTCACACCACTTTGAGAGCTCTTTATCTCAACACAACTTGAGGCCTAGCCATGGAAGTGACAATGCCATCCACAAGAGCTTCATGTGAGGCCCCCTATCTTCCAACTTGGTTTTCAACTAAACCTGAGCGTTGGCTTTCTGGTCAACCTTGGGCTGCAGCCTAAAATGAGGAGCACACAAAGCAGCCAAGAGAGAGAGCCTCCTCACTCACTCAGCCACTACTGGGGAAATGAAAGAACAAGAGAACTTGGTTATTTAATTAACCCTCAGAGTCTCTGGAATGTAAACGTTTTCTTTGTAAAGCTCTGAGACCTCTCTTGTGTCCAACCCACAGGCTTTTATTTCTGCCTCTCCTTCTGTTTCTCTGCTCTTGACCCCCCTGTAATACATTATTACATGACTTGTTTGCACAGAGGGACAAGCACCCCCCCTCCCAATTCTTGAGGTGTTAGAAATTTTCTCCCTTATCAATTTTCCAAGGACTGGCCCTTTATTCCCTAATGGCGCTAGATTGGTACACACTGCAGACACTGGCTCAGAAACAAAAGGAAAGGCAAGAAGATAGAGATACACACAGCCAGCCTCCCCGTCTATTCCCAGTGTGTCCGACTGACAATGCTGTGTGGAAGGGAAATTGTTCTATCAGTGACTGTGTTAGATTCATGACCCCACCACAACCTTGAATTGGCCTTTAGTTGTCGCTGATGGGAACTGAAGAACAGCGCCTGTCGACATGATTGCTACTCTCCAATGAATCAGAACATACAGGGCGAGGAGCAGCACATTAAAGTAGCAACAGAAATATATCACTGTACTTTTATATAGATGTATTGCTTTTGCCCAGGCATATAAATGATTGGGCCAGCCACTTATTTTTTTTTTCCAAGGACTAAATTAAAAATAAGCTAAGGGTTTTTAAATTATGTTCTTTTTTAAAAAAATCAGGGTAGCTATTTTAAGGCAACAGTCAAATATTTAAAGATCATCTTATATGGATATTTCAGCCACTGTCATTGGGAGGAACATCAGCTCTTGCCACCTGCACTCAGGTTACTTAACACATGGATTTATCACGGGTTGGCATCTGCTAATTGATCTTTTTTAAATGTCCGTGTTTCTCCGTGTTTGTTTCTTTGCCTGCTTATCAAAGAAAGTACCATTCACAAAATTAAGTTGTGATTTAAATGGATGGCATGCATATTCACCAGCCCGAACAAGATGCTGTAATTGCTCAGAGAAAGCTGATCAACAATTCTTAAATTTGGGAGGTCATAGGGCCCCATGGAGAAGGTACTGAAGTGAACCCCTCCTTAAGAACATGCATGCATGCTTGCACTTACAAGCAAAAATTTTCATTTCGCTTCAAGGACTCACAAGTTTTCTGAAGCCCTTCCTTGAAGCCCAGGTTAAGATCCCCTGTTTTTAAGAGTCTCCTATAAAGCTATCTAGTTGTGACTCACTGGAATGTGGTATCAACTTTGAAGCATATAGATCAAGTAAATAGTTTCTAGTGATAGGTAAAGTATAGAGGTCTACAAATAATTTATTCTTTATAAATATGCACAGGTGAGAAGATTCACGTTCTTTTATGGCATCACTTCCATTTAATCGCCAGCTGATAAGATCTTATGTGGTCTGGCCCCTGACTACCTCCCTGACATGGCTCTTACTGATTTTCTCCTCACCCTAAAGGCACCAGCCACACAGCCTTCATTCTGATCTCCAGCCTAGTGAGTTATTTCCTGCCTTGGGCTATTTGCCTCACTGGGTGATGTTACAGGCACAGATTGAGCAAGACCACAAGATCTATTTTTTATTTTATTTTTTTTGTGGATCATATTATATTCAATGAAGAGAAACAAGCAATAGGGACATAAACAAATTCATAAGTTTGATATCAAATTCTATGAAGAGTGATGATGGGATGATGGGCTAGGAGATGTGTGGCCAGGTAAGGCCTCTCTGGGGAAATTTTAACAAAGATTTCAGCTAAGATGGAAAAAAAGGTGTCCCTTTGCTGCATTTAAATGTCAGACTGTACTTCATAAGTATATACAATTATTACATGCTGATCAAAAAATTATTTTTAAAAATGCTGCAAAACACAGTGGCACAAGCCTGTAATCCCAGCTATTTAGGAAACTGAGGCAGAAGGATCCACAAGTTGGAGGGAGGATCCCCTAGACAACTTAGGGAGACCCTGTCTAAAAATTTTTTAAATGATTGGAGATGTATCTCAGTAATAGAGCACCCCTAGGTTCCATCACAGTACTACACACACAGACACACACACAAAATACACACACACACAAAGTATACATACACACACAAAATACATACACACACATGAAAATAGAAGTACTAACTACTCTGATTTAATCATTACACTTTATATGTGTATAGAATTATGACAGTGTGACCCACAAATATGTACAATTAAAATAATAATTAACTTAAAAAGAAAATAAATAGCTGCAGGTCAAAGGAAACATTTTCAGGCAAATGCAGCAACAAGCGCAAATGCCCTGAGGTTGGAAAGAATTTAATGGATTGGTTAGAAATTTGGAATGTTAGCTCTGTGGCACATGATATCTCCTCTCAGAGAGAAACTTAAATTATCCATTCTGCTGCCCCACTTATTGATATGCAGCGGTGGAGATAACAAATCAAGTGCTTTATTTAAGTGCTGCAATGATTTTGACTTTTCATCAAAATCTGGGCATGTGAATCAAGGTAATTTAAGACCTAATTTGAAATGGTAGTCCAGAGAGGTTAAGTAAATTACCCAAGGTCCCATAGCTTGTTAATAAGTTAACTTAGTGGAGAGATCAAAGAAAAGCCCTGGCTTCTGCCTTTGCAGGGTAATATTCTTGCACTTCTCTGCCTGCCTATACTCTTTATGTCATTAGGAAAGGTCAAGTTGCCTTGAAAATTAGTGTCTGGTTTCATATGGAATTATGGTCTAGAGCCTCACCATCTGTGTCAGTCA